TTTGTGTTAACTATTCTTAAATATCAAGGATCAAAAAAATCTTACAAATATGTAGTTTCATTCTCATGTTCCTCTTTGGGATGTTTTTTGTGGGTTGGTTTTCTTTGTTGTTCTTGTTGGTTGGGTTTTTTTGCCAATATAAATCCTATTGTAAGTCTCTGCACCCCACATGAGCAAACTGAAATGCAGTCATCCAGGCACGTATGATTAAACTGCATGTACTGCTGGCATCCTTCAGTACCCTATGGTATTGCTTATAATATATAGGATAAAGCAAATTCAAATTGTCATTCCCATGGGACCTAGGCAGAATCTCTGTGTCTTCCTGCATAATGTATTCTTCAGGTAGTCAGCTGTATTCAAAGATAATGTGGCCATCCTGGCTTCCAATGAATTTTATTTAAGTTTTGGCTCTATAGGAGGCTCCTAAGATGTAGACTGAATGATCTCCAGTCTGATTTCTCTGTAGGATGGCTCTACCTGACACACTGTTTTGTTTAGTGTGTGTTGAGCGTATATAGCGTTCCCTCTCCACCTTTAATGAGAAGTGTAGGATAACAGGTCATGCTACCTTCCGGAAAGTGTTCCAAACAAAGAGTTGTAAGAAGTGTTCGATTAAGATGTTCATTCAAGAGCGAACTCTCCCTGCCTCAGAGCTGTATTTGTCAAATATCTCAGAAAAAGGACTCACCTATCCTTCTAGGAGCAAAAGGCTCTGGAAATTCATGCTGTTTGCTTGCACTTGTGAGATGGCAGTCGGTGATGCCTGTGCCTGTGCAAGAGCTTTAATCCCTATCATTTCACATCCCAGAAGGGAAAGTTAGATGGTAACTCACTTCTATCAGGAGTATTTTATGTTAAAACATAGCAATAATAACATAAGTGTTAATAACATAAGTGTTCATACTCTTCCTACATTCTATGTATATTTTATATATATTATCTTATGACCAGGTAAATTTTATTCAAGATACTTAATCAGTCTTCAAAGCAGAGATCAGATTCACCCTGAGGTAATTTTCTCATGTAATTAGAAAGCCAGGATGCAGCTTGGTTGTTCTTCCTTTTTTGGAGGTGGGCTTACACCCCTCCTGCACAGTGGAGAACTGGCAGCAGCCATTGGAACCTGTTTCATGATCTGGCCTTATGGACTCTCTTGAAAAGGGTATCTTCATTTGAAACCTGCCAGGATTCAGTGGCTTTAAGCTGACTCATACCTCCAAAATCCTGTTTGGCTGGCTATGGTAGAAAAAGCATACTTTTCAATCTGCGTGCTCACAAAGGCTCAGCCCTTCATGTACTTAAGCAGACAGTAAATGCTAAGACTGGAGAGACAATGAAATTCAGAGCCGTGCTTGTAGCTCACATCTCTTACTGACTAACCACCCAGACACCTTCTCTTCTGTGTAGGTAGTGAGGCACTGAGTTCAGGATATCCCAAATCCTCACACTGGAAGAAGACATTGAAAAACTCAAATATAGTGTTTAACACAGTCAGTTTGCCACTTCTACTTTCACAGAAGGCTGGTGTTTACCTTATGGTAACTAGAGCTTTTTGAAATACCATTTTTATTATGTGAATCCCACAACTCACTCTTCATGAATACAGACAAAATCCTTCCAATTTCTGTGTTAGTGGCAGAGTTAAGGGCTTTGCACCAGTGAGAAGGGAGAAGGCACCAGGTTTCTTGTATGAAAGAAGGCATCTCAAAGAATTTAAGTATTTTTAATATAAGTAGATTTTTTAAATAGTGGTTTATTATAGGCAATCCTTCCTTTATTTCCACTATATGTATAGTTTTTTGTGTGTGTGTTTTTTTTTTTGTGTGTGTTTTTGTTTTGTTTTGTTTTTTGAAAAAAAAATATATAGAGAAATAAATTTTCTGGGGAAAAAAGAATTTCTTGCTGGTGTCTTCCTTACTGTCCCACCATTTGGATTATGCTGTGTAAGTAGTGCAAAACAGTAAATTTCTTCAGCTGAAATTCAGTTAGCGCATATGAAACCAAATTTCCCTGAGGCAAAACTATGCTAAGTAAATAGAACTCTCTTGCATGCACCTGTGTTTGGAATAGCTTGTCACGCTATGGAGATATGAGTGGCAAGACAGGCATTTTAATCTTCAGACTTGAGATTTCAATTTTAACAGACACTGTTGAGAGCAAGGCTTCCAGGGAGTCGTGTTTCTGGTCTTTGCAGGATAATTCTTCTCCAAGTAGCAGAGCTAGTGGCTCATGGTGACTAGACAACTCCCTCCAGTGGGAGATTTATTGCATAAACTCTACTTGGAACTGTTATAATGACTGTCTCTCCTGGGCAGCAAATGCATCACAAGCCATTAATGTCTTGCTTCCTTTTACCTTTTTACTATAAATCTGTCATCTTTTATATTTCTTAGAACAAAACTCTGTAAAGTACATTGCACTTTTCTTCAAAAAGCTATGGTTTGGTTCCTGAGAAGGATACAGATCAAGTAGTGCAAGAAATTAAAGTCAAGGATTACCTGCTACACCCAAGAAAGAATCAAGACTGCTTCCTGACCATTATTCCTTATATAAGAGCAACAATGGCACTGGAGCATGAAAATTGTGTTCTATATACGTTGTGACAGTGGGTTTAGCCTCTTCTAAAAGGGTAGCAGGAAATATATGCTGCTGCCTCCTTCAGAATGACACACGACTACAGATTCCCAGTTTCCATTCTTGTCAGTTTTTATAATCTGTGTCTTGTATCTCAGTTTGTGCCAGATGCTGGCCTGTAGGCCTCTAGCTGTAAAGAACAATATGTAATGCCAACAAAAAAGGTTTTGTAACACATGCAATGAGTATATTCTTGATCTTACATCTAGGTTCTCTGTAGGCTTCTGTACTGCTTCCAGTAGCTACTATTATGCATAGCATAATGATACATGCCTTATTTTAAATTTTGTTTTCTGAATTAAATTTCCTTATGACTAATCTAGTGAAACACTTCTGTATTTTTCTGCAGTGTCCTTCTACTTGTTCTGTGCCCTCTCTTAAGTATCTCAGTTGCCTCAATTACTGAATTAATACTCTCGTATCTCTTTTTTTTCTTTTCTCAGGTAGAAACAGACTTTTGAAGGAAGACATTGTGTTTACATTTCCATGAATTATTGTATTTTCCCAAAGATAGAATAATCTTATAGAACATGCCCTCATTTTACTGAGGGAGGAAAACTCTGTGTCACTGAAGTGGCACACTGAGCACTGGCTTTTCAGCTGGCACAGGAACTGCTGCTTTGCACTATATGTTCTGCTATATAATGCCATATATATATTACCGTATTTTAATACAGTAATACGAGGTGAGATTGGGACAATTTCCCTCAAAAATTGCTTTAGAAGCTTGAGAAATACAGCATAATATTTCTGTTTCTCATTTTCCCTAATCTAAGCAAATGACTGAAGGATACACACTGTGTTCTGTGTTGTGGAAAAAGCAAATGACATGCAAGCTTACTGGCCACAAGAGAAAATAAAACAAGCACAGACATCCTCCCACAATTGCACAACTATCTCCACTTAAATAACTGAACTGAAATAACTGGATTATAAATTAGAATTCTTCTGTAGCCCTCCTTTTCTGTTCAGACAACATGTAAGATGGAAATCAAAGGAAATTCCTTTCAGCTGTGAGTCAAACGTACTGGCCTAGGGCTGTATGAGCATGCTAAGAGCTATGAAGAACATCTCACCAAAATATCTGTTTCAGTTAGCTTTGTATTAAGACATGTTTCTAACAAGACACCCATCAATGTTAGCACAAAGCAGATATATGGTTTTTATTCCCCTGTTGCCACTGCATCTTAGGCAGCAGACTTTCATACAGATTCCCCACTTTCCAGGTTTTCCTCTAAAGAAGATTTTAAAAACATTGTGGGAAAAGACACGAACATGGTTGAGGCTCTGTTATTGCAGAAGGACATTACCTAAATTCAGGGGTTGTTTCACTAGCATAGTAAGTGGGATTTGTTCTCACAGCAGTTCTGTCCAAGATCATTGCATACAAGGTGCTTTGAATACTGGGAACATAAGAACCAGGCCTGATGAGGGCACACCAAGGTTTTTGACGGATTTGGTGCCTATGAGCTCTTACATCAAGAGTCTACTCTCATATAGTGCTCAGCAGAAGACTTAGCTTTCTCTTTGCAGACTGAAAGTGTGACTGTGGTGATAAAAACAGGACAGTGAGAAGTGAGAAGTTCCCATGCAGTTTTGACGCTAAGGAGATGCTGTCAAAGCTACTCACACTACACCTCTGTTGTAAGTTACTGTGGAAGCTGAGGGCAAGGAAGGATACCTAACCTTGTCTTTGTGCAATGGAAGGCATAAGTTTAAAATCAATATCATTCCATTAACTCCCCTTTTTAATCTCGTAAAACATGCGTGTCAGTTAGAGACCAGTGAAACAACGTCTCATTTTCAAGTTCATGCCTATGCAAAATTTGTTAGTTGCCATGAGGACTGCATTCCTTATAGCACATGATTCCCCCATCCTCCTTGGAGCTCAGGAGTTGCTGTTCTTGCCATGTCAATACAGCAGACTTCTCCCAGGGAAAACTGCTTGTGTCCACGCTGTCTCAATGAGGTCAGTTCTCATGGCAACCACACTTTATCTGCAGAAATGTGCACTGTTTTTGAACAGTTTCCCCTTCTGCGTAGAAATGATGTAAAATGCAAGGGAGCAGAAGAGCAAGAAAGAAAGCTAATTGACATGCAAGAAGCAAGCACTGCAACACTTCCTCACCTCTAATGCTGTTAGCTATTTTTTCACAAATTATTAGGCAGCCCAAAGTTTTACAATATGACACAAATGTTAAGAGCATTCCATTAGGGTTGCTCAGTGACATGCTCATAAAATAAATATTTTTTTAATACAGAAGTCAAGTTAACACCGGGTTATTTACTGTCAGATATGGCAGAAACCAACAGCCTATATTGCTGTGTGCCTCAGGAGTTTATTTCAGTCACTTTCTCCCTACCTCCTTTTGCTCCCACCTTCTCCAGTTTGAGGAAGCTTGGCAGGAGGCTGGAAAAAGAGAGGAACTCCTTTTTTGGTGGGGAAAGCCAGAGTTCCCTGCTCCTGATCTGCTCCAGCAGCCCCAGTGATGCTTCTGCCAGGAGGGGATTAGATGGCATGACGGTGGCTGTGACAGCGCTACGCCTGTAACACGGGAATTCTCTGCTGATGGTGTAAGGTTATGTTAAATCTCCTTTGTAGAACTAGCAGAGCATCTGCTTGGGATTTTTTGGTCCAGATTTTAAAACCTTTTGAATGGGAGAAAGACACCCCCTGTACTTTTAACGGCATTTTCACTCTCTTAAAAGGGAGCAAATACTTGCCTTCAGCATAATGAAAACAAACATTTACCTTGATTACAAAAACATCCTCAGTTTTGCCAGCCTAAGCATCTTATAACTTCTCAGACCATGAAGCAGAACTGCTGCCAGGAGAAAATCCTCCCCTACAGAGAGCAGCGACTTACTCACTCAGAGGTTACTTACAGTGCTGATCTCGGTTGTGTGGCACAGCTCCATCTGAGTGAGCAGATCCAGCTCTAAAAGGTCTTGTTCCCATACCTTATCTCAATTTCTATGCTTGTGACTTTTATTGATGCCTTAACTGATTACTCTCTGCCCTTCGTATGCTATTCCTAAGCCAGTGTCAGGTACTGTAAGTCTACCAGCAAGATAAATCACAAAACCTATAATTAGAATATTAGTTAGTAAAACCTGTGAAGTACTACATTTATTTTAAATTATTACCTTCTTTGTTGTCATGGGAGTCACTGTAGATAGAAGCCAGGGTAAACAAGGTGAAAATGACAAAAGCCAGCAAGATGAAAGCTAATTCAAGGTTTGTGAAGGGCAGATCCATGAACTGCTACTGCTTTGCCTAGGAAAAAGTGTAAACATTTACTTGCCTGACTGGATGTGGAAAGGGACTGCTCTCAATAGAGTAGTTAAATCTTTACTCAGGAGGATACTAGATCCTGGTCAAACTGGTTAAGTAACTTCAGCGGTTAAGAAGGAAACAATACTGCTGGCTCATACAAGAATGTAAGCTCAAGCTCTTTTTACTGAGGGCGCAGTATGTGCTGTTGCTCTGGGGGACATTTATATCAGTTATTAAAGTAAAGCTGCACTTAACTGTATGTCCATATACTATATTTGGCATGTCTATATATGTCTATATGCTATATTTATTTTATATGTATTTGTGTACAATGCATTTAATAACAGGAATATGTTTGGACTCAGAGAGTAATAAAAAACCACTTATTGAAACAGAAAGTATCTGTAATGATCTGTAGGATAGCTTAGATTTTCTTTATAGAAAAACTCCTAGGATATAAAGAAATCTACATCCTGTGTAGTGGAAAGTTTAAAACACATGAGAGAAAGCCTGAACATTACCACCAAATTACTAATCAAATCCCAATAAATAGTCCAGGAATTCTGAAGTTAATGGAAATTGAAAGTGTTAAATTGCCCACAGGATTTAGCTCTAAAAAGCAGCCTCCCTGAAATCTTAAAACCAAGGAGTCCAATACATTTGTACAGAGTTTTGTGAAAGATCAGAAGCATATATATAAAAAACCCCCAACTTGTAGTAAATAAAGGGAAGCCAGCACTTACTGATTGCCAAGGAATTGTCTATATATTCCATTGGAGTTTCTTCAAAATCATCCCAGTTCTATAAAATGCACTGAGTTAATTACTCGAAGCTGGAAGGATCTAAGGTAATGTGATTCCCTGATGCTTTTCAGTTGCTGCTTGGCTCGCAGCAGGCACAGTCCACATCAGGCCAGAGGGTGTGACAGTGGCAGGAAAAGGCACAGCTCAACAGGTTTTTTTCTTGTACCTGCCTACAGGATGCTGGTGATGTGCATGGAAACTGAAGCAACAGAGGTTGTAGCATTGCCATTGGGGCAGTCAAGACTGAAGTTTGCACATTGTAAATCGTGTTGAATTTTAAGCCCTAGTGAAATATTAACATGGTTGTAAACAAGACTAACAAGTATAAGAAAGAAACTCAGTTCAGTAAATGTATCAGCAAGAATTTTGAAATTCAGATACATACTGATGTAAGCAATAATTATTAGAATGATACAGCTGTGTCACTGAGAACCAAACCTGTATAGATGCAATTTATATGAAAAAAGATCCTTTTGAAGGACCCTACAGATCATGTTGTGAGGATTTTGTTTTCTATAGAGTCTTGGTTTGAAAAATACAAATACCCTTTATATAAACTAAAGCATCAGTCACTTCTGATTGCATTAGCTACGTGTTAATTAAAGGGGATTTCTAAACTTTATTTTTTAATATTCTGATAATTCTGTTATTTAAAAATATAAAATATTTTGATGTTGCTATTTCTGATCTTTTGTGTAGCGATCTAAGCACGAATATTTCCGCACCAGGCAAAGGATGGATGCTTATGAAACCACATGTCAATGCATAAAAAAATAGAATAGGCAAAATAGAACCTCTCCTAAATTAGGAGAGTGTGGAGATGATTTGAACTTTGTCACAACCAGTGTGTCTTCTACTGGATCATTTTTGCAACAAACATTTCATTAGTAGCTATTATAAATCTCTCTTTATGTTTTCTAAGAGTAAAAACACAGTTACACATATCACAGCTTCATTCCCTATACAATGGATTAGTTACCCCAATAAACCAAAGAATCACCTGTTCCAGTCAGAGGAACACTTTCACCTGTGTATCCATTGAAAAATATTTTATTGTCTGTATTTATACATTCTTGCTCTTTGCAACAGACGACATTTATGTATCTGCCTGAAGGTAAAAGTGAATTCAAAACTTACAGCTTTTCCTATAGACAGAGTTAAATTCTTCCACTATCCCTTATGTCAACAAAGCCACTGCATCATTCACATTCTGCTTCACTGATACAAATGAAGTTGTGTGCAGTTAAAGAAGGGGCCTGTTTCCTGAAAACAGCTTACAGTTGATGAGAATTTTTGTTATTTTGTATTGCTGGGTATATGTGTGTAGTATTTTCATTTATGTAAATGATTATTTTATCTATACTCTATTAAATATCAATCAAAAAACCTTAAACATTAGGCACGACAAGAAAAAATTAATCTGAACAGCCAGCAGTAAAAGAACTGATGGTTGATAATGCTTTTGAAAGCTGCTAAGTCCTATTGAAAGTGTTGGAATATAAGCTACTTCACCATCTAGCTCATCAAATTTTTTTTCTTGTTGACAATATTGGCCAGTTTCTGGCTGCTATGCTTTTAAGCGTGGATACAAGAAGAGCCATCTTGTGCTGCTGAAGTATCACTATCATTAAACAGAAAGATAAGCCATAAAGAGTAAAAAAATTTTTAAATTGTTAATTCTGAATATATGCTTATATATGAAGACTTGTCTAAATTAAGACAATACTTTTATGAGGAAAAATATGCAGCGATCAGAATAAAATTGTGAAAGTATTTGATATTAAAAATCATGGACATTTATAATTATTAGATTGCCATGTTTATCTATTTGTACATTGTCCATTGTACACTGAGAAAACACCACATCCTTCTTCCTGGTTTGATGGAGACATATGCAATGCAAATCAGAGTCCTCTGTCTGTGTCCTGCCCTTGTAACAAACAGAGAAAGTATGCAATATTTTTTAAAAATAGAAGATTTGTGCCCCATGTAGAGATCTTACTATTACTTTGGGAAGGCTTTACAAGCAGACACAAATTCTGTCTAGGCATCTACAATGACACTAAAGAACATAGTAGTTTACCCCCTCCAATTTGTCTGTACTGTGGATGAGAAATTCATATAATCTTTTTTGAGTACTTGAAACTACGAAACAAACTTGAATTGAAGGCTAAAATTCATGAGACATTCAATTCCATATGTTTATGTTTCATTTGATCCAGGTAACTTTACGCAAGGCTAACATAAAAAGAATTGCTTACTAATCCTTTATTTTTGTGGTAAGAGGTTAATTTGTTTGATACAAATCTTTGAGTGCCTAAGCCAATCTAATGAGAGCCAGGAAACAAGTCCATGAGAGTTTCCTACCCATGCTTGTTACCTTGTTTTGCCATGGAAAACAGGAATGCTGTCAATAGTCTCAGGAAAATCTGACAGTTAAACAGAACTATTAAGAATGGACACAAAAGCAAACTCTTTATTCAGCATCATCATATGGCAGGGTATCTTCATAGCAACACTGGAGGTGCAGAAGAGAGTTACACCTTCCACTTCAAAAATGACTGGGAAGGTGTTAATATAAGTAAACTCTCTTTCCCATGGGCGTCTAATATGCCACCAGTTTACCTGGAAAACTGTAGGAACTCTCTTCTCACCCCCATAGGATGCATTTTCTTCTGCCAGTGTTATTTAGTATAAAGGTTATGTGAAAGCTTCACACTGCCTTGGAGGCTGGCAAGTCTACTGTATTTTTTTCAGGTGCAGCAGACCTTTGTTTTGGGAAAATGCCTTTTAAAAAATACCAGTATGTCAAAAATAGCTGGAAACAAAACATGCCTTTTGAATACACATAACCTTTCAAAACATGGGTTGTTCACTAAGTTTTTAATAATGTTCTCCATCAATGAAAGCAGATTGTTGTGAGGTGGCTAGAAACAAGAAAAAGCAGAATGTGCAGATGTGGAAAGAGATGTGGTGGTCCCAAATAAAAACAAAGGTTGATACTCTTGTAGGGAAATCAGATTAGCCTTCACCATTACTATCTATTTGCAGGGATATGATTCAAATACTGTAAAATCTCCCAGAGATACAACTGCTGACATTTTACTGGAAACTGATGAAACCCCAGATCTTTATGATGAATTCTGATAGCTTTGGAATCAGAATAACTTGGAAAAATATAGGAAAGGTCAAGAATATTTTTGAAGTGCTGTTAAAAGTTTTGCTGTAAATATACCCATAGAAACACTGTAAACCCAGATGGGACTTACAGAATATTTGGGTTCAGCCACAAAAAAATGATATGTCTCATGATTTATCAGTTTACTAGGTGGTTTACTAGAGTCAGCACCAGAGATGATATTCAATGGTTTTGTAATTTTTCTTTGTCTTTCCATTAAATGTGTATTAAAATAGTTCAATGACCAGTTTCTGTGGACTTTTGTTTTCTAGCTGAAATTCTGGCCCCACTGGGATCTATAGAAACCTGATCCATTACACTGGTGTGGCTTGGATTTCACTAACTCTGTAAAAAGTTCCTCCACAAATATGTTGACTTGTGTGGGTTGA